ATCCAGCCGCTGCTGAATCTGACCAGCAGTGGCTGAATCAGGATGCCTGGGGCAGAACAGCTGGGGTGCTGCCCGGTTTGTCTGCAGACCAGGGGGACGGGGGGGGGCGGGCAAAGCAGAGCCAAGCCTCGGAGCGCGTGGGCAGCGGACAGCCCTGTCCGCTGCCCACGTGTTCCGCCGCTTTGCTTCCTCTCCCTGGTCTGCTGGAGACCAGGGAGAGGAACGGCCCCGTTCGTAACTGCGGATCCGACATAAGTCGGATCCGCGTAACTCGGGGACTGCCTGTATTGACTTAGTGGCACTATATTTACACAAAGCCAGAAATAGAGTGATAGACGATTTATTTTAAGGATGTTAAATTGTGGTTATCTGGCTAATCGTGTGGTCCATACAATTTGTATCGACTACACAATTAGTCGATAAGGACCACTGCAGAGCTGCAGCAAGGGTAGCTCCAGGAACCAGCCTGAGCCAGGGCGGAGCACTCCCAACTCATTCTGGCTCCGGGAACCACCAGTGCTACAGCTCTGCATTTTAAATCCTTATATACTTTCTCCACACTGGTCACGATTTTATAGACCTCAGTCATATTCTCCCCCCCCCCCCCAGTCTTCTTTTTTCTAATCTGAAAAGTCCCAGTTTTATTACTCTCATATGGCAGCCATTCCAAACCCCTTATCATTTTTGTTCCCCTTTATGAACTTTTTTCAATGTCAAAATATCTTTTTTGAGATGAGACAGCCACATCTGCATGCAGTATTCAAAATGTGAGCATGTCATGGATTTATATAGAGGAAATAAGATATTTGTCTTATTCTCTATTCCTTTTTAAATGATTCCTAACATTCTGTTTGCTTTTTTGACTGCTGGTGCAGTAGGTATTTTCAGAGAATTATCCACAGAGACTCCCAGATCTCTCTCGAGGTAGTAGCTAATTTAGTCCCCATCACTTTATATGTATAGTTGGCATTATGTTTTCCAATATGCATTATTTGTATTTATCAACATTAAAATTAATCTGCCATTTTCTTGCCCAGTCACCTGCTTTTGTGAGATCCTTTTGAAGCTCTGCACAATCTGCTTTGGAGTTAACTATCTTGAGCAGTTTAGTGTCATCTGCAAATTCTGCCACCTCGTTTATCCCATTGTCCAGCTCATTTATGAGTATGTTGAAGAGGATTGGTCCCAGGACAGACCCCTGCAGGACACTCCTAATTACCTCTCAAAGTCCTGGTCACCATCATGTCAGTTAATTAACTTGAGTCTCCACAACAATGTTTAAACAGTAAAACTTGGCCCAGAGTGACTGTAGAGTAATTTCAGGTTTTTAAGAATTCAGGAATTCAGACAAAGGGTAATTCTTTGAACACATAATTGCATTATTTATGAAATACTATAAAATTTAGAAGTACATGGCATAATTTCTTTAATATTAAATCCATAAATTGACACTACTGAAATTTGTAGATTCATTTCAACCACTAGTAGATAACTGTGATCTGCAGAGGTATTTAGGCTTCTAACTTTCATTATTGTGTATCTGGGCCAATGTGCCCAGGTTAAAAATCCATCACCAAAATTGGCATGGATTGGAATTCTTACAGTCGTAGAAAGACCAAAAATGAAAGGGCCTAAGCCTTAAAAGTGATCTCTCAAGGTGGAGTTTGAATGGCATAGTAATGACACTATGAAGAATACTTGAGTTGTTCTGATTTGTGTTTAGTGGA